TCATTATAAGGAGAAAAAAACAGGTCCTGTCACCAGCCTCAATGGAACCTCCAACTGGTCACCAACATCAGTTTGGCAGCCTTGTGCTGAATGAACCACCATCCGGCTGAGGGTGGCTCTGTTTAGGCCCCCCTGCCCAGATGATGCTGTTAGAGCAGAAATGAGCTTTCCCTGCTGAGCCCTGTCCAAGTGGAAAAACTCTGTAAGCTGCTAAATTTGGTTTGTCATATAACAGTAGATAACAGAAACACATACCCTCTGTTCTGTGCCTTGCTCTTTCCCCTGAACAAAGTATGTTCAAAGCTGCCTCATTCATTTTAAGAACTGGGTAGTATGGTTATAATAATTTAACTAACCAGACTAACCAGATGGAAATTTGTTTTTTTCTTAATTTTATAGCATTTAAATCTTTGTTACATGCTTTCATTTTCACATAAAGAAATATAATTATTGGAAAAATTCTCAGAAATAGAGTTGCTGAAGTCAAAAAGGATGTGAATTTGCTATTTTAATAGGTATCATCACAGATAGGCGTAGTGGTACACACCTATAATCCTAGCTACTGGGGAGGCAGAGGCAAGAAGATCACTTGCTCAGCTGCCAGCCTGGGCAACTGAGCAAGACCTTGTCTCAAGATAAAAAAAGTAAAAAGTTCTGGGAAGGGCTGGGATTGCTGGGTTCGATCCTCAGCACCACATAAAAATAAATAAATAAATAAATAAATAAAATATATTGTGTCCAACTACAACTTTAAAAATTAAAAAAAAAAAAAAAGATCTGAAGATGAAGCTCAGCGGTAAAGTACCCTGAGTTCAATCCCCAGTATCAAAAAAACAAGAAAAAAGCATTGCCACATTGTCCTCCAGGGAAGTGCCACTCCTGATGGGGATGTGGGAAGGGCCTGCTCTGAGAACACACAGATGGGACCAACCTGGCTGGTGAGCACTCTGYTGCCGTGAGCATGGAATGTCATATTTCTCCTCAAATGTTTTGTTCATGTGTTTGAAAGTCATTTTGGTCTCATTTTTTATCATTCACATTTCCTTTTTGATGAACTGTTTTCCTTTTTCTGTTGGATTTTTGGATTCAGAGGAATTTCGTCTGTATTAAAGAAATTAGCTCTTGGGGCTGGGAGTGTAGCTMGGTGATAGAGCACTAGATGTGCCAGGCCCTGGGTTTGACCCCCAGCACAGCAAAAAAAAAAAAGAAAAAGTAAAAAAAAAGGAAAGTAGCAATGTAGAGCAAGTTCTTTTTCCTTCCAGTTCCTTATTTATCTTTTTTAGTGGGTTTGAGTAATTTCTTTTCCTTCTTGTAGTTAATCAGTCTTTTATAACTTTTTTCTGTTTTATTTTCTTGGTCATATTTAGGCTTTCCCCACTCAAAGATTTTTACAGATATTCTCCTATATTTGTTCAAACTGCACCCCCCGGCCTGCCCCATGGAACCCAGGRTCTCAGGCATGCTAGGGAAGCACTCTACCACTGAGCCACATCCCTAGAACCTCCTCTAGTATTTTCATTATTTTATTTTTTGAATTTTCAGTCTTTGATCCAGCCAAAATGTCTTTTGACATATAGGTTCTGAATTCTTTTTCCACATAGGTTTCTAAGGTGCCTGGCCAGTTATCCATGGAATAATAGTTATTCTATGTCATCCTTATCATATACTACATCCCATGTTCATACCTCAGATAATTTCAGTGTCTGTTAAATTTAGCAAACTCTTTTGAATTGCTGCCCCAGAAATTATTTAATTATTCCTTTTTTTCTCTGCTGTCATAGAAAATGTTGTACTGAATATTTAAAAAAAAACATAATTCTTTATTATAAATCCCAACCTGGCTTATGATTCCTTTTGTGGATCTACAAATGAACATTTGTATTTTCCATTTAAAAGTTATTTAAACTTTATCATATTACTCTGCTCAAAAGGCAAGTTGATAAGATCTGTGCTATGTGCAGAGATGTGGAGATCAATCTATGTGATTGAGATTCATCTGAGGGTCAGTAGGATTGTGTATGAGTAGAGGGAAACATGCTTTTAAAAAATCACATCTGCTTTCTTAATCAGATATAGTTTTCACCACAGTAGTATTACATGTTTCAAAAACTGGGGAAAATAGAACTGCTATGAAAATTATATCTAAWTAAGAAAGCAGAAGGCTGGGAGCCTACAAAATGAAGATTTTTGTCTTGTTAATAGAATGACTGAGGCTGCATCATTATGTGCAGAAATTAGGAAATAATGTGAATGCTGTGGTGGATTAAGAAAATGGGTCCAGAGTCAATACTACAGAGCTACAGTAACAAGAACTGTGTATTACTGGCATGAAAACAGATATATAGATTAATGGTACAGAATAGATGGTGTGACTCAACTTCATGTACAACCAGAGAAGTGAAAAATTGTGCTCCATTTATGCACAATGAGTSGAAGAGTTTTCTGCTGTCATGTTATAACTGATTAGAACTAATAAAAATAAAATTTAAAAAAAAGAAGACATAGAGACCAACCCACAYAGATTTAGTCATCTGATCCTTGATAAAGGTGCCAAAAACATACAATGGAGAAAATACAGCCTTTTTCACAAGTGGTGCTGGGAAACTAGTTATCCATATGTAAAATAGACTAGACTCTTTCACACTGCTCAAAAATCAACTCAAAATGGATCAAAAATCTAAAAATTAGACTAGAAACTGTGCAACTCCTAGAAGAAAATGTTGGGTCAAAACTCCAGCATGTAGGCATAAGCAATGATTTTCTCAAATAGGACCCCTAAAGCTCAGGAAATAATGCCAAGAGTTAATAACATGGGATGGCATCAGATTTAAAAGCTTTGACACAGCAAAGGAAACAATTAAAGATATGAAAAGAGAACCTACAGAATGAGAGAAAATCTTTGCTAGCTACTCTTCTGACAGATGGTTAATATTCTGAATATATAAAGAACTCAAAACACTTAAAACCAAAAAAAAAAAAAAAAACAATAAATGGGCAACTGAACTAAACAGACATTTCTCAAAAGAATTACAGATAATTGACAAACATATGGAAAAAAATGTTCAACATCATCAGTAATTAGGGAAATGCAAATCAAAACTGCACTAAGRTTTCATATCATATCAGTCAGAATGGCAGCCATCAAGAATACACACAATTATAAATGCTGGAGAGGAGGTGGAGAAAAAGGAACACTTTTAGAAGACTCTTAAGATTTTGTTTTAGTCAGTGGCTTTTTTTTTTTTTCTGCTGTGACTAAAAGACCTGAAATAACAGTTTTAGAGGAGGAAAATTTTGTACTGGGGCCTCATAGTTTCAGAGGTCTCAGTTCATTAATAGCCAGCTCTATTCCTCAGGGCTCAAGGTGAGGCTGAACATCATGGTGGAAGCATGTGATGGAGGGAAATGGCTCACATAATAATCAGGCAGCAGAGAGAATCCACTTGCCAGATACAAAATATATACCCCAAAGGAACACCCCCTAATGATCCACCTCCTCCATCTACACCTATCTCCCTTCAGTTAACAGTCAGTTAATCCCCATCTCGGGATTAATTCACTGATTGGGTTAAGGCTGTTACAACCCCATCATTTCACCTCTGAATGTTGTTGCATTGTCTCACATATGAAGTTTTTAGGGGGCACCTGTTAGCTAAACCGTAATAGATTGTACATTGGTATAACCGCCATGGAAATCAGTATGGAGGTTTCTCAAAAGACTGGGCATGGAACCACCATATGATCCAGCTGAATCACTCCTCAGTGTTTATCTTGAAGAATTTCAGTCATCATACTACAGTGATAGATGCATGTCCATGTTTATAGCAGGCATTATCCACATTATCCAAACTATGGAACATAGTCATCAGTGGATGAGTGGATAAAGAAAATGTGGTATATGTACACAATAGATTTTTATTTGGTCACACAAAAAAAATAAAATTATGTCATTTGCAAGAAAATGGATGGAACTTAAGAACATTATGTTAAGTAAAATAAGCCAAACTCAGAAGGTCAAGGATTGTATATTTTCTCTCAAATGTGGAAGCTAGAGAGGAAAGGGACCAGGGGAAGGAAGGAGGGAAGGGAGGGGAGAAATACTGGGGAATAATATTGACCAAATTGTTTTGTTTTCTTATGTGTAGAGTAATATGTAGCACCAAATCCCACCATTATGTACAACTGTAATGCACTGAAAAAAATGTGGGAAAAGAAAATAGATCCAGGAACTCAATTTCCTGTTCTTCCTGATTCTCCCTTTTGCCCTTCTTGGCCAGCCACTTATGCTCATTTTGCCTCAGCATATCTTTAGACCTTTCTTTGCTGACATGTCGTCCACCTGTTGATTCCAACTCTTCCAGGCCTGGGAGGCCTGCGTTTGTAGCCTATGCCCAAAGATCAAGTTGTGGGTGGAGGGCATGACCTGCCAGTCCTGCGCCAATTCCATTGAAGGCAAGATCTAGTTATACCAAGATCCAGTTGGTGTATTGAGCCCCTATTTAGAAAATCAGACTGACTTCTAGAAAGATACACAGAATTAAGGGGTTGCCTGTTCTGGGAGTTGAATTTCACTAGGACCCTGCATAGTTTTAGCTAAAAGGAGCAAGTTCTTTGGGGTCTCAGGTATCAGCCAGAAGGAAGGACACCTAGGCCTTGTCTTTGAGGTCTCAGCCTCTGTCGTAGCCCAGTCATGCTGTGTTCTATGCATAAAGCCAGGTCRTGCTGTACTTCAGAAACTTCCGTCTGCTGGGTGAGAAAGGCCTTTCACTAAGGTGGGCAGACAGTGACTGACTGCTAGGTTCATAATCACAGAATGTCAGAGCTAAAGGGGRCTCACATGAGCCCATTCATTTAGTAAATGATGCCTCCACTTTTGTCTGTTTTATGTTCTCGTCCTGACACCAGTGTTATTGACATCATTTCTAGTGCCAAGCAAGCTGGGATACTGTAAAAAGTATTTGATTTTAAAGCTAAAAAAAGGTTATTTCTTTTCCTTTTAGATCTTCTCTAAACTTTCTGTGCCTACTCATTCCTGGGACCCAGCCATGAAGCAGAGTTTTGCCTTTGACAATGTCGGCTACGAAGGTGGTCTGGATGGCATGTGCCCTTCTCAGRCAGCCACTGGCACGTTCAGCATCCAGGGTATGACTTGCCAGTCGTGTGTCAAGTCCATCGAGGGCCGAATATCTGGTTTGAAAGGTGTCGTGAGCATTAAGGTTTCTCTGGAACAAGGCAGTGCCACTGTGAAATACGTGCCATCAGTCATGAGCCTGCAACAGATTTGCCATCAAATTGAGGAAATGGGCTTCGAGGCCAGCATTGCAGAAGGAAAAGCTTCCTCGTGGCCTTCAAGGTCCTTACCAGCCCAGGAGGCAGTGGTCAAGCTGAGGGTGGAGGGCATGACCTGCCAGTCCTGTGTCAACTCYATCGAAGGCAAGATCCGGAAACTGCAGGGAGTGGTGAGAGTCAAAGTTTCACTCAGCAACCAAGAGGCCGTCATCACTTACCAGCCTTATCTTATTCAACCTGAAGACCTCAGGGACCATGTAAGTGATATGGGATTTGAAGCTGCCATCAAGCACAAAACGGCTCCCTTAAGCCTGGGACCAATTGATATTGGCCGCTTACAGAGCATCAACCCAAAGAGACTGTCGGCTTCAGCTAATCAGAATTTCAATAATTCTGAGACCTCAGGGCACCAAGGAAGCCACGTGGTTACCCTGCAACTGGGRATAGATGGAATGCACTGTAACTCTTGTGTCTTGAACATTGAAAAAAATATTGGCCAACTCCCAGGGGTTCAAGGTATTCAAGTGTCCCTGGAGAACAAAACTGCCCTAGTAGAGTATGACCCTTCTTCTATCACCCCTGTGTCTTTAAAGAGGGCCATTGAGGCCCTTCCACCTGGGCACTATAAAGTTTCTCTTCCTGCTGGAGCAGGAGGGACTGGGACAGACGGTGAGACTTCTGACCAGCRTTTCCCCAGTTCCTCCCAGAGAAACCAGGGGCAGGCTGCATGCAGCACCGTGGTGCTTGCCATCACGGGCATGACCTGTGCGTCCTGTATCCAGTCCATCGAAGGCATACTTTCCCAGCGGGAAGGGGTGAAGCGAGTATCTGTCTCTTTGGCTGAAGGGACTGGAACTTTTCTTTATGATCCCACTGTAATTAGCCCGGAAGAACTCAGAGCTGCTATAGAAGACATGGGATTTGAAGCCTCAGTGATTCCTGGTATGTATTGATAGATGTTCAAAGCTTGTCCTAGGGTGTATCTGGGTGTTGATACAAGGTTCCTGGCTTGTTGTCTCTCCTGTTGACAGTTAGCAAGATTCTGTATCCTCTCCTCGCATTAAAATGGTCAGGAGAGAGGAAATGGGATTTCCAAGTGTTGCTCTCAGGTAGCTGGCTATGAAATGCTAAACTTCTAATCTGGGCTTCTTTTCTGGAAAGAATTCTGATTCTGTGTCCTAAAACAGAGCATGGGAGCAGCAGACCCTTCTTTTACCAAAGAGAAATTTKCTTTGAAGATTTTCTCTGCTAAGTAAAGCAAAATAATAAAAACAACAGAATCGTAGTCTCAGCACCCAGAGGCCATTCTGTTCAAAATGGGAATGAAGGGAAGGCTTTTGACCTTGCCCCTCTGATGGGCACAGGGCTGGCAGGGTAGATATGACAGTTTTCACGAAGGAAAGGCCCCCACCTGTGCTGTTTCCTGAGAGGTGGTCATTCCTGCCCCTTTTTTCTCTTACTTGAGAGCCTGCAGTGCAGCATCATCTCAACCCTTTCTGCATGCCACCTGCCAGGGTCTGTGCTAGTTGTGGGGCCACAGCTAGGAAAACAGTCTGTCCTAAGAGCTTATGTTGCAGTGAAGGGAGATGGAAGTAAGTCATTGCTGTCAGCAGGACAAGTCCAACATGAGCCCAGGCCTTGTCTTTGTCAACTAAGAGAGGTGTGGGGAGGGAAGGGAGGACCAAGACCATCGGAAGCAGAGGAAGCAGCCTGTGTAGCCAGGCCAGCCTGGGCAGTGACCTCAGCCTGACAATATGTGGGGGGAGCTGTGGAAGGATGCAGAATGGCCCAAGCAGAAGGACAGGGAGGCTAGTCCTCCACTTGGAAAGTTGGGAGGTCAGAGCCACCAAGTTTGCCCTTGCTAGGAGTTGTGTGTGATGGGGGAGGACCCGAGAGGAGAGGCAGAACCTAGGAGGAGCCCCTCCTGATGCTTGAAGATAGTGTGGGGCTAGAGGTGCAGATTTGAATGTGGGAGTCCTGGGCAAGAACAGAGACCTCAGAAGAATGAATGGGAGAAGGGAAAGAAGATGGAGTCTGGTGGTGGGAGCATAAAGGAGAATCTCTCAGTGATTGGAGTGTGGCCTGCTAAAAATCGCCACAGAGGCAATGGTGTGAAATGTCTCTCAGGGTTAGTGGGGGGTGACCACTGGCTGCTTCAGGACATTAGGAAAGTGGGAGTCCAGGCTGCATGGTAGTGAGGGGGATGGAGAGGTGAGAGTCAAAGTTTCGCTCAGCAACCGAGAGGCGGTCCTCACTTACCAGCTTTATCTTATTCAACCTGAAGACCTCAGGGTGTAAGTGATATGGGATTTGAAGCTGCCATCAAGCACAAAATGGTTCCCTTAAGCCTCGGACCAATGGATAAGGGGGTGTTCCAGAGAGGGCTGAAGAATAGGAGGGAAGGGCACTTCTTTTATGTGTGTGACAAGGTCTCACTATGTAAGTCCCAGCTAYTCTCTCAGGCTGGCTTTGAACTCCTGGGATTAAGAGATCCACTGCCTCAGGCCCCACAGGTAGCCGAGTACCTGGATAAGCTGTGGGTACTGTAAGCAGAAGGGCCACAGTTGATGATGGTCAACTCAGTAATAACTGTTTAGGTCTAGGATGCAGGTCCTGTGTGTCCTCCAAATCTGTGGGCTGAACCAGGTATGGTAGCCTTTTGGCTGGAGTTTGCTGCTACAGAGAGAGGCAGCCCAGCACCCACACACAGGGCCGGTGGCAGCAGCCAGGGCCTGCRGGACTTTGGTTTCCCACATTTTGTTCCTCTAGTAACCAAGATAAAGTTGGCGTCCTTGGAAAGTTTGCTGTRTTGTGAAACTTCCCTGCCTTCCCTCTGTACACAGCACACCCACCATTGAAGGGCTGGGTAAGTCACATGGGGTGGCTTGGCCACTTTCATTGTCCTTTGTACCAAATTTCAGGAAGGAGTTTGGGGTTTTGTTTTGTCCCCCTGCCCCCAATCAATCTTACTACAYCCTGGGAAACAGTTTAAAAAAAATCAATAAAGAAAACACAATAGCATAGTACAGTAAATTCTGTACTTAAAAGGAAGAAATATAGGGTCAGCATTTGTTGTTTTTCTGTGAGGTATAGTCTTCCAAGCATGTGATCAGGAAGGACAGTAGAATAAAAGAGACATTATTATTACTGTGTGTATATACGTGACTGCATGACCAATGTGATTCTGAACCTGTTCACTCAGAATAATGAGATATTMTATTCCATCTGATTCAAATGTATGATATGTCAAGGTCATTGTACTGTCATGTGTAACTAATTAAAACAAAAAATTTAAAAAAAGAAGTGAGAATTGAACTACATATTAGAGAATAATTGGATCTGACTGAGTAAACCTAGAAAGAAGTAGTTTTTATTTTATAGAATAAGAATTATATCTAGCCCAGGATTATGAGAATATAGGACACCCAGGTGAATTTGAACTGCAGAAAAATAGTGCACATTTTTGTTGTTGTTTTTAGTGTATGAACATTTTTTATTTATTTACACTAAAAAAATCATTGGTTATTTGTGGAAATGGAACTTTAACTGGATATCCTGTGTCTTACCTAGCAGTTTTAATTTAGGATAAGCCATGAGGGCTTTGGTGTGACTGTCCTTTATAATTACTTAAATGCTTACAAGGTATTATTTGTATTTGGTACAACTCCCTTTGGATTGGTTAGGAGCTCTTAGGGGACAGACTTCAAATTTGTTTTCCTTGGACTCTTGAGCACCCAGAACATCACAGGCATTTGTGAAGGAGTAGGCTGTGAAAAGCAGGGCCCTGGGGTACTCCATGAAGGAGTGTTGCAGGGAATAATCACAGGGATGTTGGCTGAGAAGCCACATAGGCCCTGGGAGGAGACCTCAGAGAGGAGCCCCAGCAGATCTCCCCAGGGAAGGAGTGAGTGGAAGTAGTTCACCCCTCTGCAGAAAATGCGCAAAGCATCCAGTATGTGAGATTCATGCAGGATTAAGTTATGGACCACAGTCAGTACAGATCACTGCTATTTTTTTTTTTTTGTCTGAGAGACTCTATCATTAAATAATAGGATTCTTTTCCACATGCTCTTAAAGGTATTTTTGAATTATCAAAATAGTGTGACTTTCTCTGTAGTATGTATTGATCTGGGTGGTAGTTACAGGTAGGCAGATAATGGTCCCCAAGGGTCCACACCCTAATTCCTGGAAATGGAATGTTACCTTGTATGACRAAAGGGACTTCATAGCTGTGATGGAAGGAGGGGACCTTGAGATAGGGAATGCTGAATTRTCCAGATGAGCGCAGGAAGATCCCATCAGTCATTACAAGGGGAGAACCCTTTACTGACTGGGTTAGAAATGTCACCGATTCAGGATTGATAACTGAAGATGGCAGAATGGGGCCTCAAATCTGGAAATGCAGGTAGCCTTTRGGTTCTGGAAAAGGCAGGGAATAGATTCTTCCCTAGAGCCTCCTGAAGGCCACAGCCCTGTCCACACCTTGATTTTCACTTGGGAAGAGTCATGTGGCACTTCTGACTATAGGAGTGCTAGAAAATCCATTTGTGGTCTTAAAGGTGCTGAGTTTGTGGTAATTTGTTATAGGAGTAGYAGGAAACTAATTCAGTATATCAAGATTAAGAATAGTATTGTTCTGATTTGCACATCTTATTCTAAGTAAATTAACCCCCCCCACACACACACACACAAAGGCAGTGTGCTACTGACACAAGAATAGACAAAAAAATATCAGAGAACATAATGGAGCCCAGAAACAAGCCTGTGCCTGTGTGTTCTCCTGATTTATGGSAAAGGTACCAGTGAGGAAAGAGTGGTCTTTTCAGTCTGTGAAGCTGGATCATAATTGCAAAAAAAATTAACRTCGACTGTTACCTTTACACAAAAAATAATTGAAGTGTATCATAGCCTTGAATGTGGGTCTGTATTAAAACAATAGAGATTCTGGAAGAAAACGTCACAAATGTTTTTTGCCATGTTGAGGAAGACATCCATYGAGAGAGCACAAAAAGTGCTAACCCTTTAAAAGAGAAATTGCTATTGAGCTTTCTTAACATCAAAGATTTCATTTACCAAAMGGTACCAATAGAAGAGCAAAAACATAAACCACAGACYGGGAGGAGACATTTGCAGGGCACCCAGCTGACAAAGGATGTATGTCTAGATTGTGTGTAGGACTTGTACAAGCATTAAGAAAAAGGCAGACAGTTCCATGAAGATGAGATGCTCATGGGGAGAGCCATGCCTCTGCTCACAGGGAAGAGTTGATGGTCAAAGGCACAGACCTTGGAGTTAGTCTGACTACTGTTACCACCACTGTCTTCTAAGCAAGAGCATTTACCAGCCCAGAGCTGTCACCCCAAAGCACTGTATGTTTTCACGTGTCTGTAGTTGTGTGCTTCTGTCCTGGTCATAGGGAGGGAGAGACAGAGGTGGAAACCCCACATTGCTTCTTTAGGAGCTTTTACCTGAATATTATCAGGCTTGAGCTTCCTGTTCTGAAAAAAAGAAAAAATACTACTTGTTCTTCTAATCTGAATTATTTCTGACATTTTTTCCTAGAAAAGTATTCTGCCAACCATGCTGGAAGCCATGGTGCTGGGAATACCATGCAGCAAACTCTGGCTGGCACCTCTGTGTCTGTGCCGGAAGTGGCTCCCCATGGTGGAGTGCTCCCTAAAAAACACAGCGCTGGCCCCTTGCCAAATTTCCCACCACCCACTGGTACAGTAGCACCACAGAAGTGCTTTCTGCAGATCAAAGGCATGACCTGTGCATCCTGTGTGTCTAACATTGAAAGGAATCTTCAGAAAGAAGCTGGTAAGAGACCTGGCCCTATGTTGAACTTGAAAATGCTGTGTGCGGGCTGCATGGTCTCCCCTCAGAGTCTCCATGGCAGCGTTTATCAAGAGCTCTGACAATCTGGCAGCAAATCCATTGTGTGCGATAGTGTAGATGTTTGTCTAATGTTCTTGGGCAGTTGGCATTCTTTCTCTATTTAGTTTGAGATAAACTGTATCTCTGAGTAAGTTAGCCTTGGAAAGTCCAACTTAAATCTGYGGCTAGACTTCTCAATTAGTTTGTCTTGTGTTATTTAATATCCTCCCTTTCCCTTCTCATCCACCCCTAACCGTAAAATGAGTGAATTATCTCCATTTTGTGTAGAAATTCTRATTTCAAATATTCCATTCTGTTGTCCCTGAAACCATAGAGTTTTGTGGAACTACCTAAGTTTTATCCTCTAAGCTATATTTCCAATACTGTCTTTWAAATCTGAAAATACAACAAAAACCCTGTCCCCATTTTGTTTGGAATTGCCTGAGCCATGACTCAGCCCTGCCTCCAGAGTCCATTCTCTTTCCACACCTGTGGCTCCATGTGTCTTTGTCTTGGGCTCCTGGCCCTCAGTCAGCMCTCAGGGAGGATGAAGGGATCCTCCAGCCTCTGCTCGCTGTGCTCCACAGCTTCCTGGGCCTCCACGATGACTGTGCTCAAATCGAGGTGCTGCAAGAGTTCCTTTGCCATCCGTGGGCTGGCTGCTCRGAAAGTTAACTTATAATTTCCCCACCACTCCAGAGGTTTCTGAGGAGACATTTTTCTTTGCTTGACTGTGTTGATCATGTCATCCCAGACGCCATGCCCAGAGTGTCACAACTGTGACTTGATGGTTCTAGGTGTTCTCTCGGTGTTGGTTGCCTTGATGTCGGGTAAAGCAGAGGTCAAGTATAATCCCGAGGTCATCCAGCCACCCACGATAGCTCAGCTCATCCAGGACATGGGCTTTGAGGTGTCAGTCATGGAAGACAACGCAGGCGCGGATGGCGACATCGAGCTGATTGTGAGTATCGTCACAGCCTTAGCGGGTTTGTGGATAAGTCGATAGCGCCTTCCTTCTGACCAATGAGTTTCTCTATCTATATATCAACAAATAGGGTATATACCCTATTTGTTGTTGTGTCGGGGTCTGTTTTGTTTTTCTCTGACACCAACAACAGTGACCTGTTCATTTTGGGAAGGAAGGTCAGCTATGTCAAAGAGTCAGAGGAGGCCATCACTGAGGGTGTCTGGGGTGTCAGGAGGAAGAGGTGGTAAGGTGCAGAGTTTGGGACAAGGAGGAATCACGAATAGTGGGCTGCCCTGAGTCAGGTGGTTTGGGGAGGTTGAATATGGACCTGGTAAAGCCTAAAGAGATCTCAACCACCTGCAGGTATCTCTAGGTAGACAAGGTGGGACCTCGGGGCACAGAGTGCATTCAGAGGAGGATAGATGGCTGGGGTGCAGCTCAATGACAGAGTGTTTACCTAGCAAGTGGAAGGCTCTAGGTTTGATCYCCAGCCCCACAAAAACAACCAACCAAAACCCACAAAAATGAAGAGGACTTGTAGGTGCTGGGTGTCTAGGGAGTAATTAGTGACCAGAGTATCCCAGAAGCTCAGTCCAAGGCTAATGCCTAAGGGGGTGGCTTTCAGTGTTTGGGGTGGGAAGGAGTAGTTTCTGTTTGTTCATGGTTTTAGCTGCACATCAACAAGTCATTGAAAGCAGAAGGGGCCCTTTATTCACTTGTGTTTAGTCACTGCCATTAGTGTTAAGTCAATGTTTGAAGAAGAAGTGTATAATGCAGAAGTGGCACCTTGAGCTCCATTGAGCTCCTGATGAGTGGTGTTCTGTAGAGCAGATCTCTTGCTCTGGGGAGGCCTCCTGCGCGCTGAGGGGTAAACTTCCTGGGCTATGCCCGCATCAGCCCTGTCACARGGGAGGGTCCCTCCTGCAAACTGGCAATTCCACATGTGATCATCTCAACCCACTCAGACTACTAGGTGGAAAATCTAAACAAAGATTATTATTGGAAATGGTGAAGACTTTCTTTGAAACAGTGGGTTTTTGGCAGCGTTCTTTTTTAAAACAGTGTGGTGGTATAAGTTCTATTAGTATCGCATGATCACAGACATTTTCTGAGAACTTCTAAATATTTARTTAGTGTTTGAGGAAACAGTGACCACTCACATCAGAAGAGTAAATTGTCTAATTTGCCTCATTCGTATTCCAGGAATGGCATGCCTCCCTTCAAACTCCATTTTTATCATGTCAGGATGCACCTTGTGGTATGGTAGAAATGCAGGAGGTTTGGGTGTGAATTCTGGCCCTGTTGCCTCAGGGACATGTATTAACTTAGAGAACCACCTCATTATGCAGACAAGGGTGGCTTGGAGCAGACCCTGGAGCCAGACCATCTGGCTCCAGATGAGGAGCTCCATCTCTGCTCCTCACTGGTTGTGTGCCTCTGGGCAACTTATTAAACCTGTTGGTGCTACGGCTTTGACGCCTACTTCCCAGGGCTGGTGAAAGCTGTACAGTGCCTGAGACAGTACATAAACGTTACACAAGAGTACATACATATAACTTATTACTATTGCAAATATAAAGGAGAGCTTAGAAGGATCATTGAAATAGTTGCAGACTGGGTTCTGTTAGCACAGCCACTTGCCAGCAGGTAAGCTCTAGTTTTTCTGATGGTCCTCCCTCTCTGGTCTTGTTGGGTCCCAGGCCAAGGTGAATGTGTCTGGATTACAGATGAGCTTACCTCTCCTCCCTAATTCCAGGTGGGACGCTTGTCTCTTTGGTATTTATTCTGGGATGACTGATGCAAATTTCAGAGTGCAGTTCTGGTCACATTATCCTGATGACTCCCCAATGGCTTTGCKTCCAGTAATGGCTTAGCCACCCTTCCAGCTGGGTGCCCAAGAGCCTTCATGCTATGGACCCAACCAGTACTGCAGACCATCCCCCTCTTCCTCTCATTCCCGCACCAGCCACGTCAGCTGTTGGTGGGTGCCTGAACACTGCACTGTCCTGCCTTTTTCACTCCTCCTAATGTTACCCTTACCATCACCTGTTCAAAACCCGATCCATACTTTGAACACTTCGGATTCCATCTCCTCCACTGGTCACTTCCTAAGTCTCTTCCTTCTTGATAATGAGGCGTTGCCATCAGACCCCTTATCACCAGCAGGGCACTGGAGCTGGAAGGGTCTAGCAGAGGCTGCAGGGCAGGCACTGGTGACACATGCATAAGTCCTTCAGGAATCCAGAAGGTTTGGCAGAAGTATGTCACCTTACTCTTGAGAGGCGGTTCTTGTCCCCATCTTGTTGGTGAGAAATCTGAGGTAGAGCATAGGGTGGCTTCAAAAGCACATGCTTGTCAGAGCCAGAAGTTGAACTTCCGTCTGTTGCCATCTGCCTAATGATTGCTGTGTCCCGTACCTGAGCTGGGGAAGAAGCAGTGCTTATGCCCTGGAGCCACTGAGGAAGGTTAAGGGCGAGCATCTCCTACAGGGGTTTGGAGGTGGGCATCCAGAGTCTCAAGAAGGTGCTGTGGATGGGAAGGCTGGCAGGGCAGGTGTGACACTCAAGGGCCCCATCCTATGATGGCACGTCACCAGGCAGAATTTCCTGAGTGGCTCCTGGGCCTGTGGGAGTTTCTTCTCTTGTCTTGCAGGTCACAGGGATGACCTGCGCTTCCTGTGTTCACAACATAGAGTCCAGGCTCACCAGGACAAATGGCATCACCTATGCCTCAGTGGCCCTCGCCACCAGCAAAGCCAATGTGAAGTTTGACCCTGAAATTATCGGTCCACGGGATATTGTCAAAATTATTGAGGTAATTCATTCAATTCATTTTTTTTAAGAAACAGTAATATGTAGTCATTGAAGAAAAATGAGAAAGTATAGATAAGCAGATTGAAAATCACTAAAATCCATCAGCTTTTTCTGTGGAAATGTGGTCAATCATTTTAAATTAATCTGGGAAGGTAAGTAACTATCAAATAATCTGAGGGAGAATATCAGTGAATTGGTAAGAAAGAGATGAGGGGGAGAAAATACATTATTGTTTCAGATAGTCCTGGAGAACAGTAAGTATTGCCACGATAAATGTGGTATATWAGGTTAAATTGTTTAATTGCAGGGTTTTTTGTTGTTGTTGTTGTTGTTTTAGTTCCAGGAATTTAACCCAGGGGCGCTCAACCACTGAGCCACATCCCTAGCCCTTTTTTTATATTTTATTTAGAGACATGGTCTCACTGAGTTGCTGAGGCTGATGTTGAACTTGTGATCCTCCAGCCTCAGGAGCCAATGGGTAATTGCAGTTTTTAAATATTATTTATGTCTGTGCCAGTTATCTTTATACAAAGGAATGTTGGCCTTGGACAGGATTATACCACATTTTGTCCCTCTTCTGGACCTGCCCTAAGAGTTTGCTCATTTTTGCTCTGGAAAATCAGAATTCTCACGCCTGTTCTATCTCCCTCAGTTTGTCCACAGACCAACTGTTTCCTCTTTGTGGGCTGTGTTATACCCTAGACTGAGCATCAGTGGTGAGAGGAGTGGGTTAAGCTAATCAAAATTAACAAAATTTAACTTTGTAACAGCTGGTAAGGATAAATTAAATTTAGCAAGAACGATTACTAATGAAATTGCTTGTGAAATGAAATAATCTCATAGCATGTTCAATGCTGTCATCCTTAGTTTTTATTTTTTTATTTTATTTTATTATTATTATTTTTTTTGCTACTGGGGATTGAATTTAGGAACACTCAACCACTGAGCCCCAGCCCCAGCTCTATTTTGTATTTTATTTGGAGACACGGTCTCACCAAGTTGCTTAGCAMCTCACTGTTGCTGAGGCTGGCTTTCAACTGGAGATCCTCCCGCCTCAGCCACTGAGCCCCTGGGATTACAGTTGTGCGCCACCACGCCCAGCTCATCCTTCATCTTTGATTCATTGTGTACATGTGTTTATAGAGAGGTGTTTTCTGTCATATGGCCAGCAGAGCCTTGTGACCTGGCAGTGCTGCTGCTGGTGCTGCCGAGGTTCAGGATGCCTCACCCTTGGAGGCCGCCTGCATGGCTGCTTCATGAAATGAGGAAGGATCCTCAGAGAAGTTAAGGACTTTGCTCACTAGTACCCAGCTCACAGGTGGTGGATAGCATTCAAACCCAGATCTCTCAGTTCCAAGCTCAGCAGCCTTTCTATTTCTACTATGMCACAGATCTTAAGGAACAGTAGTAAATAACGTGGCATTGGTGATGCTGAGGAGTCAGACTGATGGGGTAGACGGGCAGGAGAATCCTACGTGGTGCCTTTGAATCCATCTCTGTCTGATTTTTAGTGCCCTTGTCTGCCTCTCCCCAGCCTGTGGGCATCACCCTCTCTGTCCTTATTTGAGGAATAGTAGAATATTAGATTATTGCCTGGTCTCCATGCTTGTATCTCTGGAGCACTTTTTCACAATATAGTTAGACCGATATTAGTAATAAAAACATTAGTCTTAGAACATCTAAGAGTTTTAGTATTTGTGTACAAGTCACAGCACAGTTCTGGGCCCCACTCTATATTGTGCTGACTGACAAGACATTTCTTTTTTTTTTTTTTTTAATTTTTAAATTTTTTTTAGTTGTTGATAGTCCTTTATTTTTTATTTACTTATATGCGGTGCTGAGTATCGAACCCAGTACCTCACACATGCCAGGCAAGAGTGCTACCGCTGAGCCCCAGCCTTAGCCCCACAAGACATTTCTTGACAGCTTTCCCTGGGTGTCCTCATAAGGAGGGTCAGAGACAAAACAGTCAGGTCCAGTGGTGGCAGAAGTGCTTGAGCACAGCCTCTGTGGGGCCCAGCAGAAGCCCTGCTTCCAGATGCTCAGGGGGAGCCGAGTTCCCTGTGGAGGAGGAGCCTGGCCCGGAGGCCTGGCTACCCGAGCTCTGGATTCAGCTCTTCAGAGTAGTGCTATGACTTTGGGCAAAGTGCTTAACCCCTCTGACCTTCGATGTCCCTGTGAGTGGAGTGAGGGTGCTAGACCCCAAAGGTATTTGGGGTTGCCTGGCGAGGTTAGCTTCCCAGAGCCTGCTCCCTTTGCCGACAGCAGGGACAGGGATCACCGTTTGACACCATCTCCTTACAGATGGTGTGGTCGCTCAGTGTAAGCTGGTGCTGAACCTCTGAACAGGGTCTGTTGGCCAATTTGGGTAAAGAGATTGTGAAAGGAAAACCCACTGATTTTCTGAGGCACTTTTTAGATTTGCTTTCTAATTTCCAGGGCTGTAAAGTGCTTTCTGCCAATGCATGTTTTAACAAGTACCTTCCCCCCTTATTCCCTGCCCCTCTCTTTTTAATAACAAGGAACTCGGCTATCATGCCTCCCTGTCCCAGAGAAAGCCCAACGCTCATCACTTGGACCACAAGATGGAAATAAAGCAGTAGGTAGAACATGAAAGCTAAACTGTAGCTCTTGGTTATGTGTCTTCCCCTCCCCGCTGTCTGTGGCTCATACTGTGCAAATGTCTCCATGGCTTGTTGGTGTCCCTGCTGTCCTCGTTTCCCTGGGTGACTTCTACCTGGGTTCGTTGCCTTTACCCTGTGACGTTAGCCCTCTGAAGCACTGCTGTCTGTGGAAGTTTCCGCGATGGTGGCAGCATCCTGTGTGTGCACTGATAGTGGCCAGTATCCCATGTGGCTAGTGAGCACTTGAAATACAGCTGGTTTGACTGTGGGACCGAATTTTTTTAAGTTTAATTTAAAATTAATTTAAATTAATTTTGATAGCCACCTAGCAGATTGGATAATGCTTTAATTGGGATTGAGGGCCAGGTTTTTCTTTTACAGTATTTTCAGACTTTGTTGGCAGAGGTTCTAGAACTAGGATCTGGGGACAGACATCATGGCTAAGTGGAAAGAAAATGGATAGAGAAGCAGGAGACCTAAAAGAGTCATTTATTGTTTCAGATGGCCACTCCCTTATTCTTTCATCAAACTTAAAGGCTACAACTGTATGCAGGGCACTGTGACCAGTGCTGGGGATGGTTAATAGACTGTGGATCCTGCCTCAGAGGGTTCCTGGTCTGGCAGGCAAAGAATGAGTGAGCTTTGACAGCAGTGGTTTAGGTGGACTCTGGGAAGGTCTGGGAAAGCATCAAGCAGGGGACCCATGARCTGAAGCTTAGGGAATGAGTGGAGCTGTGCTAGGCCGAGGGAGTCTGCGGGGCAAGGGGTCCTCTAGGGGCCAGCAGGGAGGCCTGTGGTTTGGTCCTATTGGCATCCCTGGGGCAGTGAGGCTTCTGGAAAGCAAGCAGACTTGGACTCTCCAGGGCCTTGGGCAGCAGCTGAGTGCCCAGGACTTGGGTCTTACAGGCTGGTGGTTTGCAGGCCCTGCTTAAGGTGCCTTGATGTAGAAGTGCCTTAAATTAAGGTTCCAGCCTGCTTGGTTGGAATTTTCACTTATGTCACAGATAACAAGAAACTACAGCTGTCATTTGTGACTCCCAATTTCAGACTTTTGCATTCAAGACAGCCTTACTGTTCTCAGTGACTTTATTTTAAATAGTTGTTTAAAAGTTGCATATGTAAGTGAGCTTATATAATACACTGCTTTTGCCTAGGGTTTTTCCMCCCCTGCTCCTTCTTTGGGAATTTATATAAGATTGCATTTTTAAAAAAGAATTATAGCTAGCCATAGACGGAGGACCTTAGCCTCTTTGGGGCTAAATTCTCAGTTTCTGGGCCTCAGTTGCTGCACCTATAAATTAGCGGTCTTTTATTGCTTATATGAAGGCAAGACTGGGCTTAAACATCTCCCAGAAGTCCTTGCAGCAATATTTAGGCCTTTAGATTGACCTTGGTGCTCTGTTCCAGCCATGAGACAAAGGCACGTCTTAAACCAAGTCCTCAGGTGGGACCAGCCCATCATCCAAGTGATAAATGTTGTCTAATGTGTCTGTGTTGCTGTGTGGCTTCCAGGTGGAAGAAGTCTTTCTTGTGCAGCCTGGTGTTCGGCATCCCGGTCATGGGTATAATGATCTACATGTTGATCCCCAGCAAGGACTCCCAAGAAGTGATGGTCCTGGACCACAATATCATTCCAGGGCTGTCCATCCTAAACCTCATCTTCTTCATCTTGTGTACCTTTGTCCAGGTGCGTAAATAAGAAAGCCAAGCAAACCTCTGCTCCCCATGATTGTGTGTGCCCCAGGGATGCTCTGCCTACTTAGGCTCTACACAGCCCTTTAGCTTGGTTTCAGTGTGTCTCATATGATCCCACACTCCCATTACCAGTCTGTGTCTGTTTTATGTGAACATGTACATACACATACACATAGGTGTGTGTTTTCTCCACACAGATAAGATACAAAAAGTTGTACGCCCAACTTCTAGTGATGCACCAGGGGACAGGATTGGGCAGGAGGTGGGGCCTGGGAGTCTCTCCCTGACCCAGCCATCTGTGGGATAATCTAAAGGTCTAAACAACACTGCAAGGAGATTTGGGAGATGTTTAGGCCTAACCCTGCCTTCACACAACTGTATATGACCTCCAGTTTATAGGTGCAGCAACTGAGGCCCAGAAGCTGAGAAAATAGCCCCAAAGCTGCACTATTAGGCTTGCCTGCCCTGTTTCCAGTAGGTTACTGCTTTTATTTCCATCTTATGACTAGCCAAGAGGGGCAGGGCTTTTTGATGTGGAGAACTATGTGAGTGGCTCAGTTTCACTGTAAGTTTCACATTGATTGCAGGTGATTGAAACCTCCTTAGAACAGCAGTCTCCTCTATAGCAAGATTGGTGACCCCATGTGTCCCTGGTTTGCTTCCTCTTTAGCTTAATTTACCTGTGTCATTAGAAGCAGCAGCTAGAAGCCCCCAGAGCTCATGACCCTCTTGAACATTCTATCATGTAAAGTAAAGATGTGTTTCTTATCTATGAGCAAATTGTAATTCAACAGAAGCTGGCTTCATGGAACATCCACTTATGGTGGTGATCCATTTTTTGGTGGGAAGTGTACTCTCTACGCACATATTTTGGAGTATAAACCTGAACTCCTAAGTTAATATTGGAATGTTTAGGACTATTTACAGGCATTTGTAGGCTGAATTTACTTTTTAATAGTTTCTTTTTAATAGCAAATGTAACTTAAACTTATTGTAGTCAACTCGGGCCATGTTGAGGTATCAGAAGCAAAGGGGAAGATACTACTTCACCATTAGGATCATTAGGGGTATCATTAGGAGTTGGCATGTACCTTCCCAGATATCATCTGTGTAGAGAAAACACGCATTTGGGTGTGTGTGTGTGTGTGTGTGTGTGTGTGTACATGTTCACATAACACACACACAGGCTTATAACAGAGATGGGATCATATGTGATACTCTGTTGTGTACTGGCTTTTCACTTACCCATGTTTCCCGGACATCTTCTACGCCAGTGGTTTGCAGATATACCACTTTCTCTCTAGAGATTGCTTAGCTCTGTCTACAGGATCAATGAACCATTTTTACCATTCTTCTGTGGATGGACATTTATAAAGTTTTCACACACTTTGATCATCCATTTCTGTAGCCTGAATCAAAAAGTATATTTCAAAACTGAGGACGAGGGATGTCAGGTTTGTGCACGCACCACCTCGCGTATTTGCCATCCCTATTTGCCATCCTGAGGGGCTCCAGGCTCCAGCTGCGCAGGGAGCTCTCTGCTGGCTGTCAGCAGCCTTTGCTCTCCTTGTCTTCCAGTTCCTCGGTGGGTGGTACTTCTACGTCCAGGCCTACAAATCTCTGCGACACAAGTCAGCCAACATGGACGTGCTCATCGTACTGGCCACGAGCATCGCCTATGCCTACTCCATCGTCATCCTGGTGGTTGCAATTGCTGAGAAGGCTGAGAAGAGCCCTGTGACCTTCTTTGACACGCCCCCCATGCTCTTTGTGTTCATTGCCTTAGGGCGGTGGCTGGAACACGTGGCAAAGGTAGATATATGTAGCTTCTGGTTAAGAAAAGAATTAATCCTTCAGTAACACAGATCTGTATCCATCTGAATACAGGGTTGAGAATTGCTAATTACACACAGGAAAAGGCTGAAATCTGAAACCACCATATAATTAGGTGCTGAGGTCACTAATCTCCAAATTGGTTGCTACTTCTGAAATCCCAGCTAATCTGGTTAATTATTAAAACCTTTGTTCGGGCATATTGTGTAATGGAAAGAACACTGAACTTCAGGTCAGGGCCCACGTGGTCTCYCAGCGCCCGAGTAGACAGTTTATTAGTTAGAAATCCATACTTCCACTCTGAGGTCTTGTCATTTTTAACATCTTGCTTTGAACCTAGCATTGTAATGGCCCCCATAAAAAAGTGGGACTCAGTTCATGAAAGAAATTAGTTGGAACTGAAAAGAAAATGGCCGCAGGGCTGACTGATATCGTTTTGAACCTGAAATGGAGTTCCTAGAACTACAGTCATAGCATAAGTGTTGCGCACGTGTGGCTGCTTGAGCACTGCCCATCCCCCCTGGCCTGTGCGTGGTGTGCCCACGTTAGGGGAGCCCCTTTCTGTGACTGCCTAGCGCACCGGCTTGTGAATGTCAGTCTGGGTTTGGGCAGTTAACATAGCTCTCATTTTACACTCTGGTTATTTCCTAGAGCAAAACCTCAGAAGCTCTTGCCAAACTCATGTCTCTCCAAGCCACAGAAGCCACAGTGGTGACCCTGGGCGAGGATAACTTAATCATCAGGTGAGTCAGGTTCACCAGTAGAGCTCTTGATCCGTTTATGTCACCTGTATATTACACAGCCATCACCCATTGTGTGGTGGCCCTGCACTAGACCCTGGAGGGTGGGTAGGGACACTCTCAACCCATTATGTGAACAAGGCATTGAAGTAAAGAACCAGCAAGAGTTGGAGGTGGTGTTTGTGTCTTCAGTGGCAAAGGAGAGGCATAGACTATTTGTATTCCAGAAATTAGAAGAGGAAGGTTAAAGGTTGACAGGGATACTTCACAGACAACATGGAATATGAACTCTGTCTTCCTTGCAAGATCTGGAGGATTGAGATAAGCAGTGAGAGAAAGACTTCATCTTGCCAAAGAATGATATGGGAGTGGTGTCTATCTTCCTTGTAAGGTTGCCTRATGTTAAAAATAATTATTGTCATCGTTGCTGGAAACTTCTATAAAATTTATTGTTTGCTATACACTATTTTAACCTCTTTATATTTAACCTAGYCCCATCCCTTGAGGAATAAAAGCAAACCTTATGATGAAGGGACTGTTATTACTCTTATTTTATAGATGAGAAACTGAGGTTCATAGAGGCTACACAGCTAGCCCAGGATTACACAGGAATTAAGTGGTAAGGATTAGGACATAATCTAGGCTGTTYATAACATTTCCACATTTCAACTCTTAGAGCACTTAATAATATGGAAATGTTTACAAATTAAGGCATTTATTTATTTAGGTACCAGGGATTGAACCCAGGGGCGCTTTACCACTGAGCCACATCCCTAGCCCGTTTTTTATATTTTATTTGGAGACAAGGTCTTGCTAAGTTGCTTTGGACTTCACTAAGTTGCTGAGGCCAGCTTTGAACTCATGTTCCTCCTGCCTCAGCCTCCCGAGCTGTTGGGATTATAGGCGTGTGCCACCACGCCCAGCACAAATTAAGGCTTCTGTCTCCTTGGTTGGCCTCTTTTATATATTCTGGGCAGTGGTTGTTCTAGGCCTTCTTCACATTGCTGGGGCCCCTCCCTTCCCTTTAGCCTGTGATCTCACTTCTGATTGCTGAAGACACAGGCATTCCACAGACAGCCTGGCAGTTCCCTGCCTTTCACCCTGCAAACTGGCCTTCGCCATGGCACCCCATCTTAGTGGACAGACAGGGGACTCTCCTTCAGTCTCAGCTTAGGAGCTTCTTCCTGCCACTTTTCTTTGTGGTCTCTGGTATCTCCATCTTTGCTGATTCTTTCCATCTGGGATGACTCACTCCAGAGTCTTCCTTGTTAAGACAGACAAGCTCTGCACCCCTCTCCCCACTATGTACTTCCCACACATCCTCCTGTTGCCAAGGCCAGTTGCCACAGCTGTGTCCTGTGATGACTGACCACTGGGAACTCAGACAGGGCCTCTGCTGCTTGGCAGGCTTTTTGGGCTGGTGCAGAGCAGCCCTTGGTGAGCCTTTGGGGTGGAAGAGCTGATGAGAGAAACATCGTGGGGTGCAGGCTGACTGAAGCCCAGCAGTGCCAGTTTTGTTCTGGATACTGGCTTTTGGGGAAATGGGGGGTGGGGTTGCTTGGGATCAAACCCCAGGCCTTGTACACCCTAAGCTTACACTCAACCATGCCCCCAGCCCCGGATGCTGACTTTTAATTATGCATCATAATTATAATAATAACAGCTGAGATTTGGTTCCATACTATATACCAGATATGCTGTTCARCACTAATTATCTAATTAACACAAATTAATCCCTGTAACCCTCCTGTGAGGCAGGTACAGTCATTATCCCTATTTTCACAAGGGAGAATCTAAAGCTCAGCGAAGTGAAGTAAGTTGCCCAGAGTCCAATGGCAGGCACATGGCAGAGCTGGGATCAGGCCCCCGGAGGCACAGAGCTACCTTACTGGCTACCACGCCACCCTGTCCCCCAGTTGAGGGGATCCTGTGGGATAAGCATTTGGTACTGCTGGGCTCCCACACTCGTGGCCACCTTGGTGGCTCTATGGTCTCACACACTTTGKTGTCTTTCTTTTCTCTTATAAATTAATGGCGTGAGAGTTTCTGAGGAGTAAAGTGTTCRGTGTGTGAACAAAGCCGGCCACAGCTCCATTTCTTGGGACTCACCTTGCCACCACCCAGCCTCTAGCCTCTTCTTGCAGTCTGAAGTGCTGCTGACGGCCCGGACCCCACTGTAGCAGCTCCAATGATCTGAACGTCTTTGCCAGGAGGTGCGAGCCATCTGAGATGCCGAAGGAGCATGGGCTATACTTGCCATAACTCAGTTCTTTTCTAAAGATGGTGATCCTGTGGGCCTGACTACTGCCATCACACTGGGGTGGTACCAGTTTTTAAGCTGGGAGTCAGAAGATCAGAGCTCATTCTGACGTTGCCCAGAATGGGCTACRTGCTATTAACACTGCTATTCACAGTTCTGGGGAGGCCATGCCCATCCGCTCTCCTCACAGGTTGCTGCAGGCCCATGGTTGCACCCTAGTCTCCCAGGGCCAGAGCTCCTCCCTCTGTCACTTGGATTGCAACAGTCCAGGCCTCTCCTGAGGAGCTGACCGTGCTGTAACATGACGCATGGTGGGTGCCAGGTATTACAGTCCCCTCTGCCTCCTGCAGGGGCCTCCCACCTCTGGGACCCTGCTTAGAAGAATGGGTCCTTGGTGCCTCCTGAAGACTAGGAAACTGGAGTTTCTTTTTGGTTGGCTCCTTTCAACAAGGCTTGGGCCTCTCCTTCCCTCCATCCCTGTGGCAGCTATGCCTGCCCTTCCTCTCTACCCCAGGTCTGTGTGATGGGGCATTTACACGTATGACTCTCTGGACCTTCCCTTGCTGCTCAGTCTCCTTTCTGGACCTTCTTCACTGTCTTTGACATCTTAACTGCGTTACAGATGGTCACTGGGAAAGATCACCTCCCCAAACCCCAGCCGTGTGGACCCCAGGMCCCAGCTGCTGGGTGCARCTTTCCCCTGCACAGCTCACAAGGGCTCAAGCCCAGCCTACCATCCTTCCCTCCCCTCCAGATGCTTCCTTTTCTCTGGGGCCACCACACAGTCCCAGGGCAGAGTCTGGCTGCCTCTGKGGCCCCTGTCCTTCCTTCATCTGCACATCTGGCCTCTCGGTTCTTGCTCCTCCATCTTTAGGGCTATCATCCCTGGCTCTGCCATGGCCAGCACACTTGTCCAGGCAGCCACAGACTCTTCCCCCAAAGTGCTGCAKCGGTCCCCTCATTAGCCACCTGCTTCTAGCTTTGCCTTCTTTAAAATATTTTTCCACGTTCAAACCAGTGAGCTTTCTGAAGGCACAAGTCTGGTTGTATCGCTCCATGGTGAGAAGTCTTTTAGTGATTCCCCATGTCTTAGGGTGAAATCTGTGTTGCTCAGTGTGACAGCAACACCTGCTGCTCTTGAGCGCAGCCCCATCTGTTGCTCAGTATGAAGCAAGTGTAGTCATCCTTGRCTCCCTGTGGGGAACTGGTTCCAGGATCCCCTCAGATACCAAAATCTGCCCATGTTCAAGCCCCTTCCTAAGTCARTGGAGTTATATTTGCATATTATGTGTTCTCTTTTATACTTTAAGTCCTCTCTAGACTACTCATGATCCTAATTCAGAGCGTAAATACTACGTAAATAATTGTTATACTGTATTGTTTGGGGAATAATGACAAGAAAAAAGTCTGTACATGTTCACAAAGTTTTATTTCCCCTGAATATTTTTGATAAGAAGTTGGTTGAATCTGTGGGTACAGAACCCTGAGATGCAGAGGGCCAGCTGTATAAACTGACTGGTCCAGTGATTGGTCTCGCATCTGACCTGGTGACAGACCAAGAAGGTGTGTGACTGTGTATGACCTGAGTGGCATCTGTTGCAGAGAGGAGCAAGTGCCCATGGAGCTGGTGCAGCGGGGTGATATCATCAAGGTTGTCCCCGGGGGAAAATTCCCAGTGGATGGGAAGGTCCTGGAAGGCAATACCATGGCTGACGAGTCCCTTATCACAGGTTAGGTGGCATGTTTCACGTTCCCTCGGGCGGGCGTCACAGTGTTTGCCAGCCACATGACGTGGAATGGGGCTGAGGGAGTGATGGTTATTTCTTCTCCCACCTCTAGGAGAAGCCATGCCTGTCACTAAGAAACCTGGGAGCACTGTGATCGCCGGGTCTATCAATGCACATGGCTCTGTGCTCATTAAAGCCACCCATGTGGGCAATGACACCACCTTAGCTCAAATTGTAAAATTGGTGGAAGAGGCTCAGATGTCAAAGGTAACGAAGAAACTTAAAACATGGCATAACTTTAGCTYGAGAGGCCCATAGAATCAGTAAATTGAGAGGTGACTCATGAGTCAACACAGGCCAAGAGGAGCTGGGGGTCTTAGTCCTTACCGTGCTCATGGTGTCTTGTGCCTTCCTAGGCTGCAGTTTCCCATGGTCTCCATGTTCTTTTCACAGGCTCCCATTCAGCAACTGGCTGACCGATTTAGTGGATATTTTGTCCCATTTATCATCATCATTTCAACCTTGACGTTGGTGGTATGGATTATAATCGGTTTTATCGATTTTGGTGTTGTTCAGAAATACTTTCCTGTAAGTTGAATGCTTTGGGCAGTATGGGTTGTTGCGTTTTAAACAGTCTCTGCCATTATTCCTAATCTTTCATGTCTTAGATTCACTGGGCTTTAATCATTTATTTATTTGCTTTCTTCACTTATTGACAGCAAAATCTAAAACAGGGTAGGAAAAAGTCAGCCACTGTACTGCTGTAGGTTTTTATTTCAGAGGCTGTTTGCKTTCCACTCACAGATAGCTCTCGGTTATGCTGCTTAAAGCATTACAGTATGCAGAATTGTTCAATTCTTAGTTTTGAAGTGTTAAGTCTTAAGATAGGTTACTTTGTAATTTTGATGGCATGATAATAGCATTGAATAGATTTCAAGAAAAATACATTTTTTGCCATCTACATCCATGGATACCATCTTTGGTCTCCCACTTTTTCAAGCGATGATRTTTTCCTGTATTACTGAAAGGTTTTATATACCAACATGAGCAGAGCTTTTTAATAACAAATATTTATTTAACTTTGTATGYGAGGCAATAGAGTAAGCATTTTTAGTTTTAAAAATGTGGGTGAAAAAGGCTGCCTTAGGAAATATTGTTTTATTGAACTTAAAAAAAAGCAATGTGAAAAATGCTATCCATTCCTCAAAACCCTTATCTGCTTGAGAAACAAAACTACGTATATCATTGATTTTTCAGGGACATTTGGTAGCATCTGGACACATTTTTTGTTTTCGTGAATGAGGTAGATGCCACTTGGAGGTGGATGCTACTTACATCTGTGCACAAACCCAGAATGCTACTCAATATTGTGTAAGACTGAGGACAGGCTCCTGCTACAAAGATATGTTTATATATATATATATATATATATCGTGACCCATAGAGCAGTATTGGCTAATTGCCCAGTAGGTGGAACAATGCTTTACCTTATCTCATACCTAACCAATCCAAAACTTATTTTACCTTAGAGATGAAGAGTAAGAAACTAAAAATATGGAATACATTTTTTTGTCTTCTTAAAACTTTCTGCCCATAATTGAAGGTATATCAGATATTCTTAGGGTACATGTCATTTACTAAAATGTCATTTTTCCCCTCAAATTCCTTATCTTAAATTTGAAAAAGTCCAAGTTAAATACTTTTTGACATCTAAGGAGACCTCAGTGATTTTAAGAGTAATCTGTGGGTGTATTTCTAGAATTTGGCAGTGGCTGCTTACACACCTGATTGCCAAAAACTTCTGCTTTTTTGGGGGGAAAATACTCATTGGCATGTGGCCGTGGGAAGACTCAGTCTTAAACAAGTTGGAATATGTGGCTTTCTGCTGTTCCATGCTTTTCTATCTTACTTTGGCTTTTTTGTTTTTTTTTTTTTTTTTTTTAATCTGCAAAATCAGGGAGGATGCTGGCAAATGAGGTACTGCATGTTCCTTTAAAATTCTCTCATCACTCTGCCGCACAAACATCACTGTAGGGAAGGGCTCATGCAAATCCCTAGAAGTCTACCCATGTCACCAGAATGCCAAGTGTTACTTTGACAAGAATTACAGGGTTTACAAAAAAAAAAAATCATATCATGTGTCATGTATAGTAGTGCATGCTTTTAATTCCAGCAACTTGGGAGGCTGAGGCAGGAGGCAAGTTCAAGGCCAGACTGGGCAATCTAGCAAGACCCCCAGCAACTTAGACCCTGTTTCAAAATACAAAATAGAACGGGCTGGGGATGTAGCTCAGTGGTTAAACACCCCTGGATTCAATCCCCTGTACAGAAGGGGGGAGAGAGAGAGAGAGAGAGAGAGAGAGAGAGAAAGAAAAAATTTGCATCATCTTTATCTCTTTAAAAATCACATCATAACTTAGTGCGAATCTCTACCTAAATACAACCATTGCTATAAAAATGAAATGCCCCTCATAATTACCTTATTTTAGAAATCAAAGAATAAAGTATAGATGGAAGGTAAAGAGATTGTGGTCTGTATCCTTGATGTAGAAAATGTGTTTTTCACTGTAATTAAGGGAATGTATTATSTCTTTGTTATACTCTATAGCTACCAGGCATTTTGAAAAAATAAATCAAGATAATTCAAGATCTCAGGGTATAAAYGATAATGGCAGTTTGTATCAACACATCTGCAAAATAGACCCATATTTATTTGTTTGGGGTTTACAAAGAAACCACTAGATGAGACATCCCCAATCACATTTAGAGTCAAGAAATCCCATTTGGCTCCACATTCCACACCTCTAGGTGACTGTTTTTTGCCCTTGGGTGAACATTTTTCCAGTATTATCGGAAAAGGCTATGCCCACTATAGGCAGGAATTTTTCCATGAATAAAACTGCAGCACTTGTCTTTTTCTACTCGCTTTTAAAATTCTGCTGTTACTGGTATCTTTCCATGTCAGTAGATGTAGGTATTTATCATCATTCCAACAATTGCCTGGTACCCCATTATGCCCACAATCTAATCAGCTAATCTCCTATTCATTGTTTCCAGGCTTTTTTTTTTTTTGCCATTACAAAAACAAAACCAGGCACAGTGATAAATATACTTGTATCTTTTCCCATTTGTATGATCATCCTCTTAGAATCGATTCTTTGGAGACCAGTCATTTTTAAAGTTTTCATAATAATAATGATAAAAATTATAACGATGTAAGAGTCATAACTTCTTACATGCCTCTCCTCTGCCCATTATTGTATTATGTGTATGTATGCATTGTGTTTATATGTACACTGCCTTATTCAGTCCTTAAAACAACCTGTGAGCTGAATAGGATCTTCTCCAATGTGAGTGGAAACTGAGGCAAAGTTAGCATTAGAGCCAGGTCCACCCTCGCAGYCCCCAATGCCCTCCATCACCTGAATGTGTCCTAACCTGCTAGTCCCATCTCATACTCCTGGGATGTGAGGTCCTGCCACCCCACGTGAACTATGTGGTCTGTATCCCAAGTCTGCACTCTGTCCCCGTCATGGAATCTTCTGTGACTCTCTGCTGCTGTACTGCCTCTCCAAGGAAGCCTCTGGAATCGAGTCAGAAGCTGAGATGTGAAGCAGTGAGAACTCTCACTGAGCAGCACAGAATGTGTTTATTTCCTAAACCAGCTCCGCCACCCCACTGAGACACTCGTATGTGACGAGAATCCCAGGAGATTCCTCGCTGGCTCTCAGCTACTGTCTCTTTCCTCTTCAGAACCCCAGCAAGCACATCTCCCAGACGGAGGTGATCATCCGGTTTGCCTTCCAGACGTCCATCACCGTGCTGTGCATTGCCTGCCCCTGCTCCCTGGGACTGGCCACGCCCACGGCGGTCATGGTGGGCACCGGGGTGGCTGCACAGCACGGCATCCTCATCAAGGGAGGCAAGCCTCTGGAGATGGCGCACAAGGTAGGTCCTCGCCAGCCTCTCCCCTGGGCTGGCTTTTTTTTTTTTTTTTTTTTTTTAATCCTAATGAAAATGGTGTCTATTTGCTATTTTATATAAGAGAAAAAACTGAGAGCAACCTGAGGGCCACAATGCCAATTAAATAGGGTAGGAAGCCACACTGGTTAGGTGCAACAGCAGCGAGGCAGCAGCAGCTAAATGCTTTCATGTCCTGAGTTTCATTGATTTCATGTCCTCAGCAGCTCTTGGTAGTAGGTACTTATTTCCATTTTACAGATGAGAAAACTGCAGCAGGAGGAGGTTAGGCAACTTGTCTCTGCAGTTATCAAGTGACAGAGCCAGGATTATATGCGAGCCATCATGCTATGCTACAGAAGAAAATTACCGGCTCATATCATGGAATTAGTGGCAGAGACCTGTGACATGGGGTTGGAACAGTGAGCAACAGTGTGAACGAAGAGTCTTCCTGTGTCCCACATGCCAGGCCCTGACCTTTCACGCTTTCATTTATTTATCTGGTGTTTGGCTAAGCACTTTTACAGTGTGGGGGCCCATGCTGGGTTCTAGGGATGGTCATGGTTCCCAGCTTCCAGGAGCTTACAGTGTAGTGGGGAAGACAGATGCCAAATGCTGAGTATCACACAACTKCCAGTGCCTTGGGGACACTCAGGGATAAGGCAGGTGAAGGTGGCTGGCAGAGGTGCATCTGAGACCTGATAGTTGAGCAAGAGTCAACAGAGGGCGGGGAGAATGTTCCAGCAGTGAGCACAGCTGGTGGAAAGGTCCTGGGGAAGCTGTGCTCCTTAAGATCAGGGACTGAACTTTTTCTCACCATTGTATCCCCAGCATCTGGCCCGGAACCTGGCATATTGAAAGCCTTCAGAGGTTAATTGCTGAATAAATAAGTGATCAGCTAAAAGAAAGTCAGAAAAAGAAAGAATATGAATGTGTGTGTATRGATGAGGCTGTCGAGGGAGAGACCAGATCAGAGAGGCCTGGAAGATTTGAATTCTGAACTTTAGGGGTAGGACGCACCTCTGTGGGCAACTAGGTTACACCTTGGAAAGGATGTTCTGCCTGCAGAGCACAGGACGGACTGAGAGGCAGAGATCTTTGGAGATCAGCTGCTAGTGTTGAAGGAAGAGCTGTCACTCAGCAATGGAATTCAAATGCAGAGTGTTGCCTGCTGGCCAGGGAAGGCTGTGTCTTGGGGCACTGTCTGAGCAGAGCATCCTGCTACCTTGAATAGGGTGTGGGGAAGCATCAGTCCAGTGTCTGATCTCTGAGAAATGAGGGCTCAGGCTCTTGCCATGGAAGGGTGCCCCAGYGTGACTGTTGCAGACTAAACCCAGACACATGAGGACTGGGGCAAAGCTACCATTGATCGAATGGGATGGGTTTATGGCTGGCTCTATAGTTACCAGTTATTTTGGCCACATATCTATCTCTTCCTGTCTGGAACTCGGAGCCTGAGGACTTTATTCTAGACAGGCTCTTGCACTTTGGTGACAGAAGAAAACAGTGGCTGGGCTGGACGGAAAATAGGGGACAGAGGACTCTCTGAGGCTAGACTCCTGAGGTGACACAAGAAAAAGTTCTGGAGACTGTGCCACACCATCTCTTGCATGGCCAGGGAGTGTCCAGCTTTATCTGGTCAAGGCTCAGCCACAGTGGGGATGTTCTGACCGGGCAGGTGGAAATCAGTTTGTTTACAGTTGTTGAGCTCAGGGGTTGCCCACAGACAGACAGGTTAAGAAGTTACCTGCCTAGGGAAATGGATAAAGCTCTGTCTGGAGACAGTATGGACTGTAAAAGCCCCTCCTATCCACCTTGCGTCACTGAGATGTGGTTTTTTTTGGCAGATCAAGACCGTGATGTTTGATAAAACTGGTACCATTACCTATGGGGTCCCCAGAGTCATGCGGTTCCTGCTGCTCACAGACGTGGCTACACTTCCCCTTAGGAAGGTTCTGGCTGTGGTGGGCACCGCAGAGGCCAGCAGCGAGCACCCCTTGGGTGTGGCAGTCACCAAATACTGTAAAGAGGTATGTAGAGCCCAGCCTGGCTGCACCCCTCCTCCAGGTCCCATCCTCCTCCTTAACCACAAGCCGCCCTCCCTGCTGCCCTGGAAGAGGCCTTTGCCTGGGGTATGCGGGCTCACGGTCAGCCCCTCACAGCCTCAGATCACCACAGAAGCAGTTCTGCGTCACAGTGGTCAGCTGAGCATCTGTTTGGCACTGGGCTCAGAACAAAACCCATGAGGAAGTGCCCTCTGCCCACTGAGAGCCCGAGTCTGGGGTGGGAGAGGATGGTAGGCTGGCCTAGAACGCAGGCCTCCAGGAGGCTTGGTGAGGGGATATGCAGCACAGTAGGGTGTTGCAGGGAGGGCGGGAGCAGAGGGGCCAGCAGAGGGGAGCCACAGCCCTGAGGATTCTTGACACACTTCACAGAGGCATTGCACTCCTCCTCTCCTCAGGGAAAGTCCTGTTTTGTTTTCTGTTTTCAGTTGAACCCGGAGGCAGTAGAATGTGCCAAAGGTTGTGTTGACAGTTTTTAAATGGCCTGAGCCAATACTGTTTTCAGAAACATAGACATGTGGTGCAGATGGCTTCAGAAAAGGCTGCCCRCTCTTCCTGGACAGAGCATCTTCTGGAAGCTCCTGTTATGCTCTGTCTTTTGTAGGGGTCAGCACACCGCCATTCGCCTCCACCCTCTGCGGCCGGGGGAGGACGTTGCCCTCAGCTGTCCTTCACCTACTGGTCTGCTCATTCCTCCCCTGCCAGCTCACGATCTCCTCTCCAGGGTCCAGCCATGGGAACTTCTCTCTCGATAGCCTCACAATAGCTTTGCTTCCCACTCTTATTACTGCATTGTTCTCATTAAGTTATTTGCAACATACAAGAACTTTTCTTTACTTGGAGGTGTCGATGCTAGTTGCCTTCCCTCCTTCTGGTCTGCAGACTCTGCACCGTGGCGAGGCATCTGCCCAGGCAGGGGTTAGGCTGTTTAAAATGGTTCAGTTCAGTAACCGTGTTAAGCTGTCAGATGAGAGAAAAGTGATTGCTGAGCTAAGAGTCAGTTTCCTGACCTTTGCTTTCAATTCTAYTTCCCATCCCTCCTACCTCACTCTGCCTTCTCCCTCGCCTCTGTCCTGCCCTCCCTGTGTTCTGGTCCCCCACTCCCACACTACCTTCACAGGAACTTGGAACAGAGACCTTGGGATACTGCATGGACTTCCAGGCGGTGCCAGGCTGTGGAATCGGCTGCAAAGTCAGCAATGTGGAGGGCATCCTGGCCCACAGTGAGCACCCCCAGAGCCAGTGGGCTGGAYACCCAAAGGACGTTGGCAGCCTTCCTATGGGAAAAGGTATCCTGGCCGTTGTCTCTTCTGCTGGATCTGCCCATAGCTGGTCCCACTAGGTCAAAGTGGAGGTGGGTCAAACCACAGGGATCCCTGTTCCCAGCCTGCCTGCCAGGATTTCCCTGCCATGGAGACGGGTGGCTTATAGCTGGGTACCCCATACCTGAAGGCCTGCAACCAATCTCTCTCTCTCTCTCTCTCTTTCTCTCTCTCTCTCTCTCTCTCTCTCAGAATATTTTTTTAGTTGTTGATGGACCTTTATTTTATTTTTATGTGGTGCTGAGAATCGAACCCAGTACCTCCCACATGCAAGTGCTCTACTAGTGAGCCACAAACCCAGCCCTGCAATCTCTCTCTTGCATGCTTTGTTGCATCTAAATTTTGATGCATGTGGTAGGCTAAAATAGTATTGACTTAGATTCATAGAGGATTGCTTTGCTGATCTAGTATTTTAAGTCTCCTCTTTCTTGGTCCAGATAGATCTTGCTTCTCAGATGAGACCTACTTTTGTTCTTCCTGTTTTCTGCCCATATAGGTGAACTGTGATGGGTTATGTAGTATTTACAGAGCTGATGGAAAGTCAGGGAAGTGATAGAAATGATCTGCCCAAGCCAAGCATGGATGCTGCTTAGAGTGGCTGCTGGCTGTCCCTGTCTCAGGACAACTTGCCAACTGGCACCTAAAGAGTATAGATAACACCCAACCCCCCCAAAATCCATGTCTTGTTCTTTTTCCTACATGTGTTGACAGTGTAATCTTGGTTTAGATGTTTGAAGTCCTGGGGTGACCTTTTCATTAAAGCATCAAGAGAGGGGCAGAGCAATGGCACCTTACTTAGCACACACTGTTAGAGGTGACAGTGAAGGAACCGCTTGGCTGGGGCGTAGTTTTTAAACAATCACGGAAACACTTAGCTGATGATTTGTTGATTCCCCGTGGGTCATCCATACCAAACAGTAAYGAATGTGGTCAGCACGTGCCTTGTTCTGGAAAATACCCAACTGCCTCTCATCTCTGCAGAAAAATAACCAACAGATGCCTCTAAAGGCAGCTGAGGGCATTCCATGAGGTTCACCTTCACAGCGTTTCCACACATACAGCTCCTTCTGCCAATGCGCCGTGGTAATGCATCCCCATGGCCTACACACTAGGTGTACTCTTCCCCTGGTCCTTTACAGTTGGTGGGACACCTACCAAGTTGGTTTTTAGGATGGTTCAACAGCTGTTCTGCTGTTCTAGCTCATGGTGAAGCTAGACTGCAGGAATAACCAGTCTCTCTTGCACAGATGCGGCCCCCCAGACCTTCTCGGTGCTGATCGGAAACCGTGAATGGATGAGGCGCAATGGCTTAACCATCTCCAGCGACGTTAGTGATGCTATGACAGATCATGAGATGAAGGGACAGACCGCCATCCTAGTGGCCATTGATGGTATCGCTTTCCCAGAGCCTTCCTTCCACTCCCTCGAGAATGCAGTCCAGGCAAAACGAGGCCTCCCCCTTCCAACCTTCCTTTCTTTTCTTTCTTTTTTTTTTTGTTTCTTTTGTCTCCCTCTTTCCCTTTCTCTTCTTATCTTTCTCTTTCTTTTTTTTTTCTTGTTTTCCTCTCTCTTCCCTGTTTTCTTTTTCTTTCTTTCTTTTAAATAAGTATTTCCCCCCTGTTTTCAGTTGAGTTTTCCAGAACGTTGTCTTGCCTTCTTCCTTTCTAGTCCTGTAGCCCTTTCTCTCTCACCATCTCCACCTTGACTTGGAGCCAGCTCTCCTCTTGCGTCTTCCTTCTTGCTCATGAATTTTAAACTATTCACCATTATCTTTGCTTCTGTCCAAGTTGGCAGTGCAGAGTCACCCCTCTGTCCCATCACTGCAGACAGCTCAGAAATCCACTGCCCCAAAGGTCTGCATCCTGCAGATGCTTTAAATGCTCCGTGCACTACAGCTCTCCACACCTGTTGATGTGCACAGAGCTTCTGGTGGCTCCGTGTGCCGTAGCACTCAGATTATACCCTGGGCCACATGCTTCGAGGAGATCAGAACCTACACTTTGTTCGTTTAGTTTCTGCGAATAATAGTAAAACTGCATGCCAATAAATAACTTAGGATACTACATTCTGAAAACTCCAGACAAGTATGTTTTTCTCCCTCGTTCTCTTTTTTCCTCATAAACCCTCAGTCCCCTCAGCTCCTCAAGCCAGAATGGGCACAGTTAAGGAGCCAGCTCTGCCATACACTCTGTTCCCATTCTCACTCTGTACCCATTCTCAGCCCAGAACTCTCCTGCTTCTTCTGTGTCTAAAGATTCACCCTCCCAACCAAAAAAAAAAAAAAAAAAAAAAATTCTGAGAAATGATTTCTGTAGGAAAAAACAAAAAGGAAGGACTGATCTACTAGTTTGGATGTCTATCACTTTAAGTAACAATTGTGACATTTGCTATATTTCTTTTGTTTTTAATTGCAAACATGTTTTGAGTTCTTATAATGGGACAGGTACTTTGTAAAGCAATAATTCATGTACCTTGTGGAAAATCTGGAAAGTTCAGAGAGCTGTAAAGAAACAAATGAAATCACTGATAGTCCTGCACCTCAGGGAGCCACCATGAACATCTTGATATCCCTTCCGGACTTTAATTGTACATGATTTAAAACAAAAAGAAAACAGAACCCAATTCATATTATGTACACAGTTTGGAGTTTTGTTTATTGTGTGTAGTATTATATGATGAGACCCATAGCCCGTCCTGATGTCCTGCTTGCATGAGGGCCATCGAGTCCCCCCCTGTGGCTGATCACGGTGGTCTGCTCCAGGTGTGCTCTGTGGGATGATCGCCATCGCTGATGCTGTCAAGCCAGAGGCTGCCCTGGCTGTGCACACACTGAAAAGCATGGGTATAGATGTGGTTCTGATCACAGGGGACAACCGGAAGACAGCCAGAGCCATTGCCACCCAGGTACGGCTGGAGGCCAGAGACATCTTTCTCCTTTAAAACTGTAAACTGTGTTAAGTTCACAGAAGCAGGGGAAAAAATAAGCACCAGTACCTACGTCCTCAGTTTTGCTTCTGCTCTTTCCTGCTCTGTGCATCCCTGGAGAAGTGATCCCAATGTTCTCTAACCATTTCCCAAATAGTCATGGTCTCAGGGGGTACAAAAGAAATGCTCTAACCTTTATGTTTGGGGCATGTTCTGTTGGCTCAGCTCATGAGTGTGTTCCCAGATGAATGACTTAGTCCTGGGCAGTGCTCCAGGGGCCCTTGATTCTGCATTGGGGCCATGAGGGCAACAACTGTTGGATGACTGATCCCTACACAGCCTGACTCTAGGGTGAATGCCTGGAAATTGTATCCCCACTCCATCCCCCACTCTCCTGACTTGTTTCTGATGGTGTGTGGCCTTCCTTACTAATGGTGGACTTGATGAGTATCTGCCCTCTTTTCCTGGTTAAAAACACTCACTTAGGAAGCACCATGAGGGTGATGGACAGGCACCGTGCCAGGCACTGCRGCTACAAAGAGAAACAAAAGGCTCCTGGTCCTACGGGGAGGATGGACCCTGACACTGTGGCTGAGTGCTCAAGGGTCCAGTAGAAGTGGGCAGGATCCCCATGAGAGTCACCAAGGAGCAACTTATCCCCATCCTCACGGACTGGGGGTGGCTCCCCAGAGGAGGGGTTGCTTCTGTCAGATGAAGAAACTGCAGGGGGTGGTGTTGAGAGGAAAACTGAACTTCTCAGGACAGAGCAGGCAGCCTGCCCAAAGGGATGCAGAGTGGCGCCGTGATCTGTAGCTGAACAGTAGCTGAATGGTGCATTCTTGAGGGTGGTGTTGGCTACAGACCAGCAGGTAGAGGCCAGGCCCAGGAGGACTGTGGAAGGCAGATTCCTGAGAGGTTAGACTGTATCCAAGGAAGTGGGTGGGATCGATGGGACTGAAGCAGAGAGGAACATGACCAATATTTTCTGCTCTGATAAACAGTTTGGAAAGTGTGCAGGCAGCCAAGCCCATGACGAGCAGACCAGTAGGGACCTGAACCAGGGATAGGAGCACAGGGTCTATTTGTCCTGTGACCTTGAGTCTTCAAAAGTTGTTTGATTGGCATGAATGACTGGACCTGGGGGCTGAGGGGAGGGGACCAGGGTGACTAGAGGCTTTGTTAGCATTGGGTATCGATTTCCTTTCCTTTAGGTTGGTATCAACAAAGTTTTTGCAGAGGTGCTACCTTCTCACAAGGTGGCCAAGGTCCAGGAGCTGCAGAACGAAGGGAAGAAAGTTGCCATGGTGGGAGATGGGGTGAATGACTCCCCCGCCTTGGCTCAGGCCGACGTGGGCATAGCCATTGGGAGTGGCACGGATGTGGCCATCGAGGCAGCTGATGTCGTCCTCATCAGAGTAAGCTTGGCTGCGTCCAGGTTGCTGGGGTGGTGAGGTGGAGGGAGGGCCCGGTACTCAGCACCGTCCTCCCTTACAGAATGACTTGCTGGATGTGGTGGCCAGCATTCACCTCTCCAAGAGGACTGTCCGGCGGATCCGGGTCAATCTGGTGCTGGCGTTGATTTACAACATGGTTGGGATACCCATCGCAGCAGGTAGGTAGGCACGGTGTTCACCTGCCCTGACAACTTCAGCCCCTCCAGCAGCCAGGAGGGTCCTCTGCCGGGTTTCTGCAGAGCTCAGTGAGTTGTCCCCCTTGCTGGCTGGCTGGCTGGATGCATATAGAAAAGTTGGTATTGGCTGCTGCCTTAGGTGTCTCTAAAGACAAATGAGAATAACTGCCCAGAGGACCCCAAAGCTCCTTTTCTGGTCTTCTGTAAAGAGCTGKTCAAGATGCTCGGCTGTCTATTTACCGTGACCATGTTTTCTGAACCATCTATTAAGACCTATAGTCTAATATCAGCCTGCTCCTCCCCATCGCTGCGGTTCCCACTCCCCATATCAGGTGATGTCACTTGTGCATGGCTCTAGAAAGGGCAGGAGGAAGAGACCAGGTCCTCTCACATCCTACTGCCCAGTGTTCTACTGCCCATCTCAGAGGCCGTTGGGCACAGGGTCTTCGGAGCACCCCAAGGATGGTGCTGCACAGTGCGGCCGAGGGTGGGGTCCTGCCTCCCCTGGCTGCCGGGTGAGTGCCSCCTTTTCCTCGGCAGGCGTCTTTATGCCTGTTGGCATTGTGCTGCAACCCTGGATGGGCTCGGCGGCCATGGCGGCCTCCTCGGTGTCTGTGGTGCTCTCTTCTCTGCAGCTCAAGTGGTGAGTCCTGGGCCAGGAACACTTGATGGAGAGTCTCAGGAGGCCCTTGCCCCTGTGCGCTCACAGCAGGTTGGGGTGCTGGCATGCTTCCTGGGTGACAGTGGGCAGCCTGAGCAGGATTGGGTAGTGATTTGTCARCACCATGAGCAAGTCATTTACCTCTCCCCAGTTGTCAACGTACTCTTCTCCTCACAGGCTGTTTCTGTGGGTCTCAAGCAGGCTGAAATCCCTGGTGGTGTTATTCGTCCTTGTTAAAAGGCGTTTATTTATTTATTCATGCATTTACTTAACTGAAGTTATTAGTAATCTACCTGTTGGTATTTGCATAGGAAGTTTCTAAATCAGTTGAACTTTTTTTGAACATAGGCATTCAGTGTCCTTTTTCTTTTAAAACCCGTGAGGTTTTGATACCATGCGTTATTGAAAGACTTAAAAATGGGAGCCTTCACCAGGCTTCAAAAAGAAAAGCAGAACTTATGTGCAGAGTGGTGCATATGCTCTTGGATTCTTACTTTCCAGCTACAGGAAACCCGACCTGGAGAGGTATGAGGCTCAGGCCCATGGCCGCATGAAGCCTCTGAGCGCGTCCCAAGTCAGCGTGCATGTCGGCATGGACGACCGGAGACGGGACTCCCCCAGGGCCACACCGTGGGACCAGGTCAGCTATGTCAGCCAGGTGTCTCTGTCCTCTCTGACGTCCGACAGGCTGTCTCGGCACAGCGCCGCAGTGGACAATGGTGGGGACAAGTGGTCTCTGCTCCTGAATGACAGGGATGAGGAACAGTACATCTGAAGGCTCCAGGTGGGCAGATCCAGGGCTGGCCAGGGCCCAGTTCCCCCCAAGGAGATTCACATCTACTCTCTGCAGTTCACTGGAGCAGGTACAGTCCCAGCAGCCCTCCCTGCAGCCCACAGCCTGGCCCAGGTGCAACTTGGATTGGACTCCCTGCCTGGTCTTCCTGGCGCAGGCCAAGCAGCCTGGACTCACCATGCTGGCATTGTGGGAACTTTGCTGGGACTCCAGAGAGGAGAGAAGTCAGTGTTCCTCGCACGCCTCTGCTGGGAGTATTCGGGATGCCTGCTTGTGAAATGAGGAACAAAATCATCAGGACCAGAAAGCCAGCTGGACCTCTCCAGAACACCAATAAAACTCACAGCTGGCCTCTTTGATGATGTCCAGGTGCCCGTGCGTCTGAGCCCGTGGTTTACCTCCAATGTGCCTACTGTTTCCTGCTAGCACCATCTCTCCCTTTTCTGCCTTCATGTGTGCTTGGCATCCTTGACACTGGGGATGTGCCTGTCCATCATCTGGGGCAGGACTGACGCCCACATCCAGCCAATCTGCTAGTCCACACCCCAGCCCAGGAGCTGGCCATATCCCTCATCATGCTCAGGAGAGCCGCTTCTTGCTAAGAGCTGCTTCTGCAGAGTCGTGCATGGTGCTACTGACCTGGAGTCCAGTTCAGCTTCCTGTGGGGCCCAGGTGCTGATGACCCAGGTGTCCTGATGTCCCTGCCTCAGGTTCTGGTGCTTGAAACAGAGGCCCTGTGGGAGGTATATGTGTGCAGGAACCTCCCTGTCACTTCACAGGGTCTAATAGAGCATTCAGGTCACTAGTGTCCCTGTGTTATGAAGCACCTGTCCCCCAATGAAAGGAGAGCACAGTTTTCCAGGAGTCTTCTGCACACAGAGTGGGCGCTAGAGGGAGGGCAGCCTCAGCTCCCCAGGAGAAAGTCTGCCTTTACCTGTCAGTSGTACTTTGTGATTGTGTGACATCAGAGGGGCAGGGATGAGCCCAGGTTTAGGCTCTGAAGTCAGTGGTGATTGACAGGACACCTGGGAGCAGACTGGCAGAATTAGACTATCCAAGGTGAAAGCCTGGTCTCATACAAAATAATCTTAGTTATTTATTGAGTATCACTTATTTACCAGGAGCAGTGCTGGTACATTTTGTAGGTTATCTCTAATCCCCTCAACAACAAAGTAGCAAGTTAGTTATTTTTTCACATTTTGCAGGCAAAGAAACAGGTTCAGAGAGGCTAAATATTTTGCTGAGGCTCACACAGCCAATATATACACAATGTCTTTGACTTTGAAGTCTTCTCTAATTCTCCTGCCACCTTAAATGTCAGTTTATTTGATAAGAACAAAGTAGAAAAAGGTCCTTGCTCCTGGAAAAGCAAATCTGCCAGATTATGTATTATTTATATCAACTTCAAATGCAGTTGGTCACAAGGTCATCCCACCTTCACTTTGGATGGTTATTTTCAATTTTTGCATATAATGTAGTCTTGTTGGATTTTATCTCCTAAAATCCACGTTTGGGTTTTGTTGTGCTCTCACTGTTTGCAGTCTTTCTCCCCTTCTCTGCTAACCCCTTCCATGATCCCTCCCCGTCGTATCCTCCTTTTATTCTTGCTTGGGGAATATTTCTTATTTTGAAACTAGGCTAATCATTTTCTAAAGAATCTAATTGTATTGAATTTTAAAACTGCTAGGACTGTAAGCATTGTTCATATTTAGACATGAAAATATTTATATAATTGTACAGAAAATAACCTTTTAGATGTCCAAAGTGTCAGGAACTTTTTTGGTCAGGTAACAGTGCCTACTTCAAAAACTTTACATACCATATGAGAATAAAGTTTCATTTTGTTCATCCAAAACTCTTCCTGTGGCTGGCTGTGTACGTGGGAAACCAGTTGGGCTGGGGTGATCGGGCTGGGGTGATCTGTCTCAGGTTAGAACATCAGCCAGGCGCTGACTTGGCCTGCTACCTCGTGATGGACAGAGAAGGAAGGATTTTAATAGTTGGGGACATGAGGGTGGCCAATGYCCTGTTGATCTGCCCTCCCTTGCTCTAGTCTGAGCCTTCTCCTTCTGGCTGAAGGCCATTGGCCTCAGTGATGTGTGGGGAGAGCTTCAAGAGGCGGCCCCTGCTAGAGCCGCAGCCTCAGGGGGTGATGCACCTCTAGTGATGCACCTCCAGTCCCTTCATGTGGACTTCGCTGCTTTAGGACCGTTGCCAGCAAAAGGCCATTCCCAAGCACACTGGACTCAGGAGGGATTCATTTAGGTCCCTTGGTCCTGAAGGAGTAGGGTGGGAGTGTTTAGAAAAATCTGGACCAGGGGGTTCTGCTGAGAAAGCTCTGTGGGCATCTGGGGATGGCAGGTTGCCCGAAGGGAGTTAGGCCTCTAGGGACCTGATAATATGTCATGCAAACCAGGACTCTTCAGAATATAAGGGTACACTATTAATAATTATGCAGGACAACTGTCCTAAACTGGGACACGTGGTCACTTTCCTTAGAAGGGAAGTGGACATTGTGAAATCACCATCAACATGAAGAGTTTGTTTTAGAACTTYGCCCTAACTGTAGGTCCCAGTGATGTGACAATGACATAATCCTTAAACACAACTCTAAGCAGCTCCTCAGCTGGGCCAGTATTCCTCTGTTGAGTCCTTGAGGTGGTTAACTTGTGGTCCCATGTACTGGTACACCGAGTGCCCTCCAGGACACCAACTTCATGCCACATGTGCTGGATGGCAGGTATGGAAGTTTCACATAGAATATGTGTCCCGCTGTGGAAAGGGGACGTTGATCCCATCTTGGGAWGGGCTTCTTTAGCAGACAGACCCTTTCTAAAACTTGAACAAACTTCCCTGATAAAATCCCTTGGGCGCCAGGATAAATCACAGCATCTGTCCATTCCTGATAAATTTTCAGTCTTAGTGAAAAATTGTGGTGTGATTTCCATTTTATTGAATTATAATTCCAGTTGTTTCTTTTCAATGGCATCTGGAAATTGGCATGTCAGAAAATAGATCCCCAAATTACTCGTTTGCTTAGGAACTGAGATTAATAAAAGAGACCTTCATTTTAAGAAAATCAATCAAACATATAGTTTCATTAGAAAAAGATTACTTAAATTACAGAGGGATTTTTATGGCTTTAAAAAATTCATGTCAGGCTACTGGGGACCTAGCTCAGTGGTAGAGCACCTGCTTGGCGTGTGAATGGCCCCGGGTCCAATTCCAGTACCACACATGCACATTTCATTTGACAATTTCCCTAAAAGAGTCCATAAAATTCTTGAGTTAGAAAACTTTGGGGTACAACCTTCTCTTAGTTGGTTGCACCTTTCTTTGGAGCTCATATGTGAAGAAATGCAGTAAGCAGCCAGCCCAGTTCTGTTTCCCTTTTCAGCTTACCTGGCTGGTGGGAGAGCTGATTTGTACTGGAAGGAATTGTGGGGTTGGCGGGGAAGAAGCTGCTCTGCTTTCTACATTTTCACACAGGCCTTGGGCAGGGCCTAAGCCATGGTCGGTGCTCATTCCAAGGGAGATGTCTCCTTGTCTGCCCTTTCCTTTGTGTGAAGACAATGACAACAGCTGAAATTACAGAAGAGAATGTGGAACTGTTAAGTAATGCCAGGAAATCCCAGTCTCCTTTATTCTACATAAAAAAAAAATGGATAAACAGATGTAAAACCATCCAAGGGCTAAAATGAAAACAAGAATTGATGGGAAATTTAACATTTTTTTTCCTCTCTGAAATGTAAATGGCTATTATATCTTAATATAAATGGAACAGGTTGGGACTGTGTGACTCAGTGATAGAGAGCTTTCCTAGCATGAGCGGGGGCCCTGGGTTACAGCCCCAGCACCACAAAAACAACACACATACACACACACATACACACACGCACACACAAGCACACACACGTGCAAACAAAAAGCATATAACTGCTTATGATGAAAATGTAAATATGTTGAATAAACATCGAGGCTAGAAAAGTCACCATAATAACCCCCATTGGCCTCAGAAGGGAGAAGCTCAWAGATGTGATTTTGTGCAGGGTGGGGGGTCCTTTGTCCTTTGTGGGTGGACCAAATCAGGGCACCCAAAGCAAAGCCTTCCCGCCTCTTAACCAAGTCCCCGCCATGTGAGCACAGAGACTTTGCAAGGGTCCCAGGATGGACCTGCTGTTAGCTGATCAAGGTCCCTGGTAGGTCAGGCAGTGAACAGATACCTTCAGGCTACTGTGTGCTGACTGTGTGACAGTTTCCATCTCATTTTGTGCCTCCAGTTCTCATGATGGTCTTAAAAGCTATTTCTGTCACTTCCTATTTCCAACCACAGGGTCACTGAGCCGGCTGTTCAGAAGACAACCCCACTTGGCTCTGGCCCTAAAACCCAACATCCATTGTGCACCCTGCAGGAAGAGCCTGCCTGCTCCCAAAGGTGAATGTGAATGCCCTCCTGTAGGACCAGAGAGATGGCCTATGGCAGGACATTGTGGTTTATCTCTAGAGCCACAGGTGTCTCTCTGACCAAAACAACCTCCCAGTCTGTGGCTAGAGTGCACATTCTCTTTATCATTTTTTTATGCATCTGGAAATCCAAATCAATGTCATCATAAAGAAAACATGGAAATAGGGAAGAATGTGAGGCTAGAGTTGTGCCCTGGCACCTGGGGCCTCCAAGCTACATTTAACACCTGTACTTGCAGCTGGGGCTTCAGAGCCTCCTCCCAACTTGTACGTAGCTTTGCAGGGTACTCACAGTCACCATACTTCTCTATCATATTATATATTTGTGTAAATTTGGATACTTTATTTTGGCTTGAGCATTAAAAAAGAAAAAAAAATGTTTTAAAAGGGCTCAGGCACCTGTAATCCCAGTGGCTCAGGAGGCTGAGGCAGGAGGATTTTGAGTTTAAAGCCAGCCTCAGTAACTTAGTGAGGACTTAAGCAACTCAGCAAGACCCTGCTTCTAAATAAAATATAACACAGGACTGGGATGTGGCTTAGTGGCTAAAGACCTCTGGGTTCAATCCCCAGTACCAAAATAAATGAATAAAATAAAGGGCTCAAACATTGTTGGTGGCTCCAAACTTCCAAGTCCTCAAATTCCTGTGTTTGCTTTGGGTGCATAAGGCCTCATCCCAACTCCCCGGACAGAAACAGAGCTGGTACCTTGGTGGCCGGAAGATAGATCCTTACCATGGTTCTCAGGGACAAATGTCCCTGGGAAGGTTTACTTGCTCTGGACCTTTTTCCCATCTGTTCCATGAGAACTACCCACTCTACTCTCCCAAGATGTGAAATACGAGCCAGGTGTAGAGGCACACACCTGTAATCCCAGCAACTCAGGAGGTTCCCCAGTAGCCCCCTCCCGCAAATGGTAGAAAGGTCAGTGCCTAGGAACCCACCAACTACAGGATGGCAGATGGTCACAGGTGATCTCAGCAGGCCACGAACCACAAATGTGTTGTCCTGCCCTTTTGGATGGATCATCCTCCTTGTTGCAATTTTTAAAATAACCAAGTGTGATCTAGCATCTCTGCTTCTCATCCATAGATACAGGGATAACCGTAGTTCCCATTGCACAGGGTTGCTGTGTGGTGCGGTGGGGTCATCGGGGTAAAGCACTAGGAATGCTGCCTAGTGCATCCTGAATGCTCAACAGATGCCAGCTGCTGTTTTCATGAGCAATGGAGTCTCTATTCTAGGAAAATAAAACAACTCAGCCTCTCTGCCCTGAGCAGGTAAAAGCAGTCTGTATGTGGCATGGCTACCCTGGAGGAAGTGCCTATTGACTGACTGTGTGTGTGTGTGTGTGTGTGTGTGCACGCTACCAGGGATGGAAGCCATGGCCTTGCACATGGTAGGCAAATGCTCTGCCACTGAGCTACCCCCTCAACCTGAAGCTCTGCTTTTAAGGCCGAGCGAGCTATTAATTTAAGTTTGCTTAAAATGGAACAAACTAACCATTAGCGTATGCCAGGCCAGACCCCTGCTTATTCCTCTTGGTTCCTGGTGGTCCTGGCATGTTATCTCCGGGATGGCACGTCCCATGTTCAAGGAAGGGCCTTTCAACAGCAATGTGGTGGATRTTATAAGCACTAGCCCTGGAGTTGGGCAGACCTGAGTTCAAACCCTGGCTCAACCCATCTGAAGAAGTTGCTGCCTTTCTGAGCTTCCCAATCAGTGTAAAACTTCTGCCTCCTTTGTGGTGAAGGTTAAATGATATTACGTATGTACAATGCCTAGCATAGTGCCTGACACATGGTAGACCCTCCTAAAAGGCAGTCAGTCATTGCTAGAACGACACTGATTTGGTGTCCTCAGGGAGAGACCCGTGGACAAGATGCTCAGAGAGGATCTGAATTGTCCTGGGATGGGATGTGGGCTTTTGGAAAATATTKATTGATTGAACAGGGCCAGTTTGCACAATGGAAATTGAGCAGAAAGTATAAGGGATAGGAGTGAACACCAAATGCCACAAAAGCAAAGTAACATTTTTAACATGACATTCCAGTCTGAGTTTTGGAGGTGGAATTTGTCTAATTCAACCCACCTGTGTTATATTTAGAACTTTGATCGTGTCGCACCAATCTTTTCTGATGTCTTTCTTTTTTTCTCTAGGATAGAATTATATCACTTTGGGGTGTGGTTTTCTAAAGATTACACTAATTTTTTTATTAAAATAGAACAACTTGCTCCTCTATTTCTGATGACCCAGCTTTAAGAGCTAAATATAACCCCATCCCCGTGGTGTGGTATTTCTATCACCAAAGTGAGTGGGCCGTGACATCATGGGAATTGAAG